GAGTATTTTATTTGAAAGTGAGTATCAAAATAAATGCTCATAAAATTGTAACAGTTGTTAAAATGATATTTGATATATACCGATTTGGAGAATAAAAAAATAAGAGACAAACACGCCTCTCGTATAAAGAGATCATGCAGTGTTCGTAGTGAAATGTTTCTTGTACAACAGTTTCACCCTTGCACTGAAATAGGGCAGAGCGGCAGGCCGTAGGGCACAGCTGGAGGCCCCTGAGCTTTGGGGAGACAGACCTGGGTTCCAGTCTGCCATTTAGCCGTGCGTCTGTGTGAATGACTCACGTGCTTTGAGGTTTCCTTTCACAGAATTTATGTATATATAATAACGTCTGAATTTCAGGGCTTCTGTAAGGGTCCTGGGTGGAGTGTGCATCATGTACAAAGGACTCAGTGACCCGTAGATCTGTTTTCTACTCCGTCCTGTGCAGTCTGCCGCACTAGGGCTTTCCCTGGGGGCTTCTCACCTTCTCCAGGCCCCCTGGTCAGTGTTGCTGTGGAGGGGTGAGTTGACTGGCCCCGGTTCACGGAGGTGTGGCTGAAGGTGCTGTGGTAACTTCCCCAGACCCCTGCGTGGTGATGGAGGTGTGCGTGCTGAGCGCTGGACACTAAGCGTCTCTCCCGCGCTGGCTTTCAGCCCGGACTCACCAGGCTGCTTTGGGCTGTGACCTGCACTTGATATCTGATTCTTCTGAGTCTGTCCCCTGCACTGAAACGTTCTTCTCTGATGTCTGTGCCTGCCTCGCACTGACCCGTGACTCTGCTCCAACCTCCTTCCTGCCTCAACCCCCCGGTTCTCTCCAGGTCACTGCTTTCCAGGTTCCCACACTTTTGCTCTTCTTTGCTAAGAAGCGTCCTGCACTGTCTCATTCCTTGATGTCCACCCAGTCCTCTTAACCCATTCCATCCAAAATATCTCATAGGATGCACATTGCGTCGCTGATTCATTCACTGAGCGAATGTTTGTGTTCTGTGTGTGGCTTAGGCTCATTCTGACGCTTTGGTGGGAAAACACAAGGTTTTATTCCTGGTGCGTTTAGAAGACTCTGGAGAAAATGGAAATTCCCCAGGACATAGTAAAGGATCTCTTTACCCACCAGAGTGTGTATGCTGGACAATTAAAAAAATACGCATCCTCTACCTTCGGAAAGGATAACTGCGTTCTGTGTTGCTAATGCTCTGGGGAGTGGGGACACATTGACATCTATTGAGAGAGAAAAAGAAGGAGAATGAGGACTTTTGTGTGGGATAATGGGAGTGTGGCCAGAGCAGCAAGAGACCACTGCAGGAGAACAGAAGTCAGCAAAGGATGGGCTTGGCTAGGCAGTGCCGGGTCCTTCCCCCGAGGGGTCCGTCACCGGGAATGGACATCCCATTCATGAGTCCAAGACCTGTGGCTCTGGGATGACCTGGCTGGGGAGCTGTCAGGGAAGGGGTCACTATAGTAACTAAATGGAGGCATTATTATGCTTCATCCCAAGCCCTCTACAGCTAATGACCACAACTGAGATGGTGACTGCATGTTTGGAGCTTCATCGCCCTGCGTACACCTAGAGATATTTTGAGCCAATTACTCCATCATCTGTTTAGCGGGGAGTCGGTGTTATGCCCCACGCCTTGAGTGACACATATTTTGACTAGCCTCTACACACACTTCTCTCTACAACACCAGGGGAGATAGGAAGCTCGTGTGACCCCTCGACTTACGGGATGAGCAGCGGCAAGAGCTTCTGTTTTGCCGGGAGCAGACACCACAGTATCATGTATGAGCTGTGTGCTCGGCACTGTGGAATAAAAGGAGAGGAATAAGGCTTGACCCTTCTGTTTGACTCCTATTCATGGGGCAGAAGAAATAGGGTGGGCTCACAGTGCAGTGTCAGGTCAGGGAGTGGATGCACTGCTTGAGACAATCGTTGCAACTAAGATTTTGCAGGTCTCTTCCCTCTTCAGATAGGGCTCAACTCTGTTTTAATACATTTTTGACCTGTCTGAGCTCATGGGATATGTGTGAAACAAAAAGGTCATTTTCTAAATTTCTTGGAAAAGTCAAATATCCTCTGTAAAGTCTTTTTGTTGATATCATATGATATAACACAGAGGGAGAATTGTGGGCTGCTAGCTTGATGGGTTTCTAGTTGAACACCTGCACCCAGAAGGTATTAATCTGATGACAGCTTTCTGCTGGTAAGTATCCTGGCTTTATCCTGGATCATATTCTGTTGGATACATTCATCAGGGATTTGGATAAAGATATGGGGGACACACTTATCATGATGCAGAGTTAAGAGGCTTAATAAAGAAACGAAATGACAGAATAAGATGATGAAAGGGGTCTTAATATGACAGAGAGATGAAGCAAACTTTTACAGAAGTTTGATAGGAATAAATACCAAGCGCTATGTTATTTTTTTTTTTTTGCTTTAGTATTGTCGAATCTTAACTTTAGAAGCATAATAAAACAAAAACAAGCAAAAAAATACCAGGAC